CCATTGCCCAGGCCAGACTGCTGTGTTATCATCATCACTGCCCTACAAAGTTTTTGCAGTTTTTTTTTTTCTTTTTTGGCTGGGGCTAGGTTTGAACCTGCCACCTTCAGCATATACGGCCGGCGCCCTACTCCTTTGAGCCACAGGAGCCACCCACCCTATGAATTTTTGTGAATTTTAACATTTAATAAATTTCTTACAGAAACACACTCATGATTAAAAGGAAAATAATTTGAAATACCTGTTTTAATAACATTTTACAATAAATCCACATTTCATTTTTATATATTAATTTGAAATTAAAAAATCTTATAAGAAATTTTGATATGCATCAATTTTTTCTGCCTAAAGTCCTCCAGCTTACCTCTAAGATGACTAGAAAGAAACACCTTCCTTCCCTATGAATTAACTCACCTATTATCCTGTTTGGGAGTTACTGGGCAATAGTGGATGTTTGCTAGCTAGTGGGAAACAAATGTAAAGTACTGAGAGTGAAGGACCTTACTAAACTTCCATAAACAGTGACAAAGAAGGCCTTTCTGTTTCCTGAGAAGCTTCCTAGAGCTATTTTGCAGTCTTTTCAGGCCAGGCCCCTCAAACCTTTTCTTACTGCACTCATGTAGTATCTTCTCAGGATTTAAAGAGGACACAGATTTCAATAACATGAACAACAGTGTAGCTTCCTAAATTTCATCTATACACAGCTGTGTAAGATGCCTGTGGCTCAAGGAGTAGGGCACCGGCCCCATATGCTAGGAGTGGAGGGTTCAAGCCTGGCCCCGGCAAAAAACTGTGGGGCGGAAAAAAAAAAAGACAGCTTTGTAAATTACAGCTGTCACTAAATACGTGAATGCAGTCATTCTCTGGCTGCATGGCCCTGACTTCTAAGGTATTGAAATCAATTTGGAATTCACGTTATTAACAAATGACTTCTTAAATTGGTTCCCTGAAAATTGCATTTCATCTCTTAAATATATAAAATGTTCTGAATAATATTTTTCAATTTTTCCTGCAATCACATTCAACTAGTAATTTATTCCCCTCAACTCCTCCTTTCTTCAGTAATATCTATAAGATTTATTTGAAATGAATACTGCTTAGCTATCCCCCTGGGTAGAGTGCCATGGCTTCACAGCTCAGAGCAACCTCCAACTCCTGGGCTCAAGCGAGTCTCCTGCCTCAGCCTCCCAAGTAGCTGGGACTGCAGGCGCCCACAACGCCTGGCCATTTTTTGGTTGCAGGCATCATTGTTGTTCGGCGGGCCCGGGCTGGGGACTCGAACCCGCCACCTTAGGTGTATGTGGCTGGCGCCCCAGCCGCTTGAGCCACAGGTGCCGAGCCTCTCTCTCCTTCTTTCCCATCTTTTCTTTTATTTTCTTCTATGTATCTATCCATCAGGTATCTATTTATATGTGTGAGTGTCCAGCTTTCTACACTTCTTATATCTTGCAATATTTGGTAGAATACATTCTTCTGTTTCAGGATTAACTAGGCTATTCATAGACATTCATTCTTCCTTATAATTTTTACAATGAGTGTATAAATAAACCAAAATAATTTCTTTGGAATTTTAATCAATTCGTAAATGAATTTGAGAAGACTAACATTAAGTTTTTTAATCCAAGGTCCCCAGTGTCTCTTTATCTATTCATAAAAATCATTTTCTATGACTAGGTCTCACTCCATTGCCCAGGCCAGACTGCTGTGTTATCATCAAGCTCATAGCAAACTCAAACGCCTGGGTTCAAGCAATCTTCCTGCCTCAGCCTCTAGAGTAGTTGAGACTATAGCTATTAGCCACAATGCCGGCTACTTTTTCTTTGTCCCTTATTAAAGATTAAATTTTTCTCCATTTTTACTATTGGTATCCTTCATTACGTTTATTCACAGCTACTTCATAAATTTTGATACAATTATAACATTTAAAAATTATATTTTGTGCTTGATTATTAATAATGTAGAACAATGCTACTTATTTCTATAACTTGTGTTTCTGGCAACTCTTAGACTCATGACGTCTTTCCTTTTTCTTGTAGAATTGTTCTCAGCCTTATGAACTATGTAAAGCAGCAGTGGGGTACCCTTGTGTTTTTCCTGATCTTAAGGGCTTAAGCCTCACTTAGCCCTGGTGCGATATACACACACACTCACATTTAATACAAAGATCCTACAGTATTTTAGTTAGAATTTTTGTATTTGTAGTTACACATAAAATGGGACCATTTCTTTCTTCTTTTTCCTTTTCTTAAGTATTTAAGAAATCAAGATTTTACTAGCTTCATAAAATGAGTTGAAAGGTTTTCCATGTTTTCTGAACTCTTTGTATACGAAAATGAATTTATCATCTCTTGAAAATCTGGAGACTTCATCTGTAAAATAATATGGGCCTTGGACTTTGGGGAGGGATGGAAAGATTTTACCATTAAAATTTCTTTAAGAAAAAAATCAAAAAATTAACAAAAATTTTCTTTAATTAACAAAAAAATTTTGTCATTTTTGTATTTTTCTCAATATTTATCTATTTTGTCATTTTTGTATTTTTCTCAGTATTTATCCATTTCCTCTCACTTTTAAAACTTATTAGTTCACAGTTGTTCATTATACTCTTTGATTAAATTTAAAAATCTTGGTTACATATCTAGTTACTTACTCTAGTCCAGGCGTCCTCAAACTATGGCCCGTCGGTCACATGCGGCCTGCCTAGGACATTTACCCAGCCCACTGGGTGTTTTTGCCACCACTACCTGTCCTGCTTAGCAGCCGACTCGTCCCGGGGCCTACAGTCCAGCCCTCCAATGGTCTGAGGGACAGTGAACTGGCCCCCTGTTTAAAAAGTTTGAGGACCCCTGCTTCTACATATTAGAGAAGCAGCATATCTTATCTAAGAACAGAACATTAGCTATCACATAATTAAAGTGTAACAACCTATCTAAGGCTGAAGCCTGACACTGAGACTCTTTCCTATACATGTACTATAAAGAGTATTAATCTATTACTAAATATAGGACATCTGCTTATACTGTTATTTTCAGAACTGTTTTCATGTACAAAGCCATTTTGCACTTTGGAATAGGATTTTAGCACAATACTTACAGGGGAAAAATCTAAAGAAATACTAGATCACTAAGCTATTAGTGTTATAATGGTCTTAATAGGTTTCTTTACCCTCCACTTGCATATCTAAAGGCAGAAGCAATTGCTTTAAGCCCAGATAAACCAATTCCCAATCCATAACTGCACCCTGGGGATCTGGGAGGAAGGAAAGGGAGAGTGATATTTAAACTAGAGAGGATATCTGCTAGATGGATAACACTGAATTCTAATTTCTGTTCTGTCCCTTGGGTGTTAGATGGTGGAAAATTCTTTCTCTAGGAGGTTTGGGATAAAGCTTCTCTGAGACTTACAATAAAGGGGAAAAGGCTATTGAAATGAACTGAGAGGAGAGAATATTCCTCCTGGTTTTTTAAATTTAAGAAGCTGAATTCTCATCTCTTTTCTAGACTATAGCTAAATATTTTCCATCCCTCCTCTTATTACTTAAAAAACCTACTTTTGGAATTAAAAAATTATCTAAATGGAGTTGCATATATTCAAGTAGATAATCAGAAAATCAAATTGCCACTTCTGTAGTGTCGATGACAGTTTCTCTTCAAGATTAAGCTGAAGTTGTAGCTATTACAACCTCAAATATTCAATTGTTTTAAGTAGAAATAACATAACTGTCTTCAGTATTTATTTGGAAAGTGTTAAATTATTTCAATACTTAATTGTGTACTGAATGTATACTACAGGAGATGATTTCCTACAGATGTGATGCTCTCCACGTGGGCTACTCCAGTAGACGTCAACCTCTTTCTGTAATCCAATTGGTCTGGCATCCCGCAGGTGTGACACACTTCTCAAGCCATCATGTCCACACTGTTATCCTCTATTTCAAACCTGCCCTGGCTGCTCCTAGCAGAGCACATTCAGTGTAAACCCTACCTGACTCAGGCTTTTCAAAACTTGATGCCACCTCTTCCCCTATTTCTTAGGACTTTCTGATATATATCCTTGCCTCCGCAACTGCAGACATTTCACAGCCCTTGGACACGTGGCAGCAAGTATGACTTCAGAGTCTTTGTTGTTCCTTTCTCCCTAACCTGAAAGCACTTCACTCTCTTGTCTGTGAAGTCAGACCCATCTTTCTCACTCTAGTCTAGTGTTTGTTTCCTGAGTTCTCCAGCTGTCACGTATCTTTTGTTCTCTGAATGTCTGGACACTTTCCATTAGTAAACCTCCTGTTACTTAATGTAGAAAGATAATGCATACAAATTTATTCATAAAATCAATTTACATAGAAATCATGAAGTGCTAGACTGTGTACAAAGGAATGGAATTATTTATTACCTATTAGCCCTTCTTTTCCCCATTTATTTAGAGCAGTGGTTCTCAACCTTCCTAATGCCATGGCCCTTTAATACAGTTCCTGTGGGTTGTGACCCGCAGGTTGAGAACCGCTGCCTTAGAGTATAAGCCTATTGAAGGCAGGGCCTTTATTTAATTGTTATTTTGAATTTCCCATGGCTCTTAATCTATCATTGAATAATACATGTATAATAAATATTTATCGCTTGATTAGTTAAAACATTGG